ATAGTTTAAATGTTTTTTTTTTTAATAATTTGCAAACAGAACACGTTCTTCGCAAAACGATTATAATATAATACTTAAGAGGTGCAAAGAGGGTAAGAAAATGAGATGTTTATTCAATTCGCTATTTGCGGAGCACTCCTTCCTGATGCTCTCGGAGAAGGCGAAGACTTCCGGCGCGGAATTAAAGTTGCAGGAAGAGCCGCTCTCGACGGAATCAGCGCGCGAAAAGCGGATGATGATGAGCGTAAAGCAAAGTCGCATACATCTACCGTAGAATAGAATGTGACTTTATTTTGAAAATGGTACAAAATAATCAAAATAGCTTTTATTTCGTGAATGTTTTTCTTTCATCCTGTCATACAACTGTCAAAAATCGTATTTCTCCAAGTGACAAATTAAAATACTTAAAGGAAAAAATAGTGTTAAGGGAATGCCGGAGAGACGGCCGAACTCCGATAGGTTAGCACCACACATATCTAAACATATGCACGTATACACATATACACATGATAGGTTAGCACCACACATGTCTAAACATATGCACGTATACAACACATATGCGTGAAAATTTTCTGCACCGTTTTCTTATTTATTAGGCTTTTAAACTTATATCTAAAAATATACTAATACTTCTTCATTCAATTTCTAGTCGGAACCTATCTTATTTTGTACGTACAAACAGCAGAACTTTTATATTAAACAATTATTTTTTTCGACCTGACGACGAAGTCGATAAAGAAATTTTAGTTTTAAAATTTTTTCTTGTTTTTAACATAAAATCAGTAGGTTCCCACTTTGTTTCTGTACGTGTTTTAATTGTGGAAAAGCATTTATTATTTTATTAAACCAATAAAAAGATTTCGGTGCAGAAAAATCTATAATCATCTGATCGATAAAACAGACATCCAGCATCCCCTTAATTGCAATATTAATTTACAGAATATTTCTAATAGTACGAAAAGTTTTAGAAGATGATTCTTTGTCGAAAATTAAAGCATGCTCTTATATCCCTCTCTGAGAATTTAGGTTTCTTCAAAGGGTGAGTTGAAAATTAGATTTTTATTTATTTATTTATTTATTTTTTGAAAATTAATGAGTTTACGAAAAAAGTAAAAGAAATAAAAGTTTCTAAAGGAATCAAACTTTCTAATGTATATTTTTAAATAATCACATTTAGGTCCGTTAAAAAATTCTAATAAAAAATTGAATAGGGTTTGTTAATTTCATTCCCTTGATACAATGTGGAAAGATTAAAAAAATTAATAAATATCTTTTTTATTAGGAGAAAATATCTATCAAATTTTATTTTTTTAACTTACTCAAAATTTGAGAAAAAAATTAGAAATCTAAATTTTACTGTGGAAAAATTGTAACTCAAGGACGGATATAGAAAATATAAAAAAATTAATAAATATCTTTTTTATTAGGGGAAAATATCTATCAAATTTTATTTTTTTAACTTACTCAAAATTTGAGAAAAAAATTAGAAATCTAATTTTTACTTTGGAAAAATTGTAACTCAAGGACGGACATAGAAATATATGTTTATATGAGAAACTCTGCTTAATTTTCAACAAAGAATCATCTCTTAAAGTACTTGGCACTTATATAGAACCTGTATCTAAACACTTTATAAAATTATAATTCATGATTTTATACCACAAAATGCGAAAAAATACGGCGATAATTCTTTCTCGTTCTCTTCACTTAATTTTTTTTTTTCATTTCTTATACTATGGTTTATCATAAAACCAACAACAGCCCGGATATTTTAATTTAAATATGTGTGCAATTTTGTTTCCATATATACGTGCTAAGAAATTCTATTGTACCAGCGCGAAATAAAATCATTGAATTACACATACATACATGCGTAAAATTTAACACAACATTTGTTCATTATAAATTTAATTACAAAGTTTTGAGTTTGCAAAGACAAACAATTGCGAGCAATGGCATTTTAATAATTGACGCGACTAGACGTTCGAGAGATTTTTATTTTTGCTTTTTGATGTAAATTGTTCGATAGAATCAATATGGCAGCTAAATTACTGCGCCTGCAGATATATACTTAGGTGAACCGTACGGTTGTTCTATGTAAATTATATTGATGTTATATGTAAATTAATTATTGTAAATTATGTATCGAATTTTATGTTAATTATTAACATATGCGTGCGCAATTTTAAACGTGAAATATTTTGTGTTTGAAATCATTCTTGATAACTGAATGACGTTTATATTGTTTGTATTTTTATTTTTACATTGTATTTTAAAATTTATTCTTCGCTCTTAATCTATATTGATGATACTAATAGTATAATATATTTTTGAGACATTTCATTAAATATTGGTAACTGTAATAATTAAGTTATATTTATATAATAAATTATATATAATTAAGTATATGTATATATACAATAAATTAAAATACCTAAATATACATATAAAAAAAAGCAAAATAAAAATAAATTAATTTCATATAAAAGTTGTAGAATTTTATATGCTGGTTAAATAAAGATAAAATTCACATTTTTTAATGGGACCTTCATTTTTAAACATCTACATTTGTAGCTTTTCTTATGAATTCAATGATTGTATATGTAATCAAAATTATTGAAGGTCGGAACGAAGCGCTGATTCGTATAATTAGCTATATACATATATATTTACTCTCTAACTGTACTATTTTTATATTGCTTTTAATTATTATGAGAGTTTCACTAATTATCACTGACCAAAAATATAATAATAATTGATCGCTTACACAAACGAAGGAGAAAGAAAGAGATTCGAAAAGTAAAGTAAGTGACTGGAACAGAATCGTGCGATTGCATAATAAATTGCAACAGAGTATGCAAACGCGATAAACAATATTTCCACGTCGAAACGAGCGTTATTTGTGCAAAATAAAATAGCTAATTCAAAACGCGCCAATTAATTATGCCCGAAACAACAATTTTCTCGCTCGCACGCGCATATTTTCGTAAGCAGAAATCATACAAATAACTCGATCGGCGAATTTATTAATTCGATTAATTGAACGTTCCGTTTCGAGACGACGTGATGATTCTCTCCTTCCCTTTGTATTATAAACGCTAACGCATTATCATCGCGCGGTACAATTTGTTCGCAAATTTATCGAGAATGATCTTTGTCGGACGACATATGTTGAAAATTGTTAACATCGCGAAATTAAATAATAAATTAATACTTTTTTAAATGCATTAGTACGTTTGTAAATTATCGTGTTAATTAATTAAGAGAAAAAACTCGATTTGATTCAATTTAAGAGATAAAACAAAAAATATCCTAACACTATAGATTAATCCTATATAACATTAGTTTTTACAAAAAAAGTATTTTTTTCATTATTTTCAACCAGACAAGGTAATTCTTATAGACTTTAGATGTTGAAAACGATCAAGTGAGTCAATTTTCACCAGCACGTCAGGTTTCCGAAATGATTGAGAACAAAAAATCTCAACTATCGCAAAAAAAACCATTATTTGCACATTCAACTTTAATTAGTTTGAGAGTATGACGTGCTATGAAAGTATGAAATTTCGTTTGCGGTATCGCTTTAAGTACTCAAAAATCTATAAGAAACACTTATTTAGTTTAAAATGATTTTAGCTATAAATTAGTGTAATTGTGTCAATTTTAAGTAAATATTTTGTGTAAATATAAGAGAATTTATTTTTTAGTATGTATGTGAAAAATAAAAGAGAGATCGTCGAAAGACCGCAAAACAAGATCAAAAGATTAAAAGAAAAATCGATTTCGAAAAGCTACTAAACAGAAAGGGAGAGAAATCTCGATCGAAGATCTCTATCCTGGATGATCGGATTCTCCCCTCTCCTTTCTTTTCCACCTTCCATTCTTAAGAACAAATAAAAGTCGTTGGCACTCGGAAGGTTTCCTAAGACTGTGTCTTAGCCCGCTTTAAAAGGTTCGCAAGCTTCACTCGCGGGTCACCGACCCGGCCTTAATACGTACACTTATCACGCTGCAATGATCTTGTTAGCAACTTTCGTTCGTCGGCATCTAGATCCGTGATAGGAAGGAAGAGGGGCAAAGGAAAAAGAAAGGGAGCTTTTGGGGAGCTTAGAGACGGTTAAACGCGCTTTATTGGCTTTGGAAGCCACGGAAAAGCTCATCCCCGTTCCGAAGCGCGATGCAAACTTCGAACTCTTAAGAACGGAAAACCGCTTTATTTACGCTTTGTTTCGACGGAATAAATCGAAGAGAATACACGATATTCTATATGACTCGATCGCGCGAGTGATTAGTGGAAAAAATTATGAAACTTTTTCTGCAGCGTTATATTTATAATAAATATAGATAAATATACACTATAAAAGAATATGTAACATTACATACAATATGTAATATTACATATTGTATGTAACAATATTACATATTACATATTTTATGTAATATTACATTATGTAATGTTACATATTTTTTACAGTGTATATTTGTAATATGTAATATGTAATATGTAATATGTAATATTACATAAAATATGTAATATGTATAATATTACATAAAAATATGTAAATTATATAGATAAGAAATGTAAAATTGCAACATAAATAATAAAAAGGTATACATTTTTATTAATTATCGTGTACTTTTACATTTACTTTTAATGTAATTTCACATTATTGTTTTACAGTGTAAACAATTGCTCGAAAGAGTTGCAACATCCTTTTTTATCACATATTATTTGATGATGCTTAATGCAGAGAGTCTACTGTTTTTTAAACAGTTTTAAAAATATATTATTTTTCACAAACTCAAGTTTTATTCGCGTTACTAAACGTCATGGAAAGTTTTCTTTTCTTCCAGAGAAACTTCTAGATAAGCACTCTCTTTATTTATGCCATCGCTTCTTCAAACACTTTCTTCTCAGTTTATGTCAGTTGAATATACGGAGGCAAGTTGTATTTTATGTTCTTCGATTCGAAATAATCAAATTTAAGTTTCTCACTTACCAACATCCTTTGAACCACCCCATGTCCCTAGTTGAGCTTGACGAGCCAATCGGGACAAAGCGTCAACGTAAACTCGTGACGCCGCCGCAGCTCCTAAACAAAAAAATGTTGTAATTATATAGTGTTTTTAATTATATTTTAATTTATTATATTATTACAGTATTTATTATATATTAATTTTTTCACATCAATTTAAAATTTATTAACTATAAATAAATATAAAAATATTAAAATAAGAAAATGACAGAAAATCATAAAAATATATTTCTGTTCCTGTATCAGGGTCAACAGCATTAATATCAACAATAACTTGTTACTAAAAGAATTAATTATCTCTTTTAAAATTGGATCCTTCATTTTCAAGAATTGTTTCAATATTGACGTGTACACACACACACACACACGTCAATTTAAATATTTATCTCAAGCATTTTTCATCAGCATGATGGACGCAACAAGAGCAAAATAATATTTGTACTGAAGTAGGACACGAGTATTGTAGGATTGAAAAAAAATACGTTTCTCTGCTGTGTTCATAGATAAGTGACATTCATCGCTGATCGAACTATCATGTCGATAAAATAAAAAAGCCACTCGCAGTTATCGGTGAAAAACGATCTCTCCCCCAAGAATACCGGCTCTCGTTAGGCGTTATGGAGCAGAAAAATTGGGACGATCCGGAAAAGAAGCGGCGGGGAAGACGAGTGATGAAGAAGCAGGGCGAAAGATGGTGGTACATCGGTGAAAATGGTGTGTTCCACCCTGCGGGCAAATCCCTCATAAATAGCAGGCTCGTGCGCAACAGACTCGAAGAACGAGAAAAGAAGAAAAAATAAAAAGAAATAGAAGGATGGAGAGAAGAAGTGGACAAGTAGTGGAGCTGGTTGGACAAGGTGCTATATCTCGGGAGAAAAAGACTTGCAAAGGAGAATTGAAGATCTTTTCTCCGTGATCATCCCCTTTCGACTTCCTCTCATTATCGAAAAGTCGAGCCATGCTTGCATTTGTCGTCCTTTTAGAAGCAGATTCTATTTATTCGCGAAGTAGAACTCGAAATTTTGTCAAATAAATTTTTCTGATGAAAATACTGCAGCTTTTAACGGAAAATGTTATTTTCCCTCAATTTTATAAGTGTGTTCGATAGATTTTTTATCAAAAAATAGAATGTCGCAAACTATTTTCTTTTTGTTTAAAAATATACATATATTGAGAGATTTCAAAATATTTTGATAAGAGATTATTTTTATGAATTTTTTAAATATACGAAATCTAATTTTAATTTAATCAGAAATGGATTTGAATTAGGTTAGAATTTTTCAGCTTAAATTAGGTTAGGTTAGATCAGAATTTTTCAGATTAGGTAATAAGGTTAAATGCGGAACGAGACGCCTTTACTGCTTTTACTTCATTATTTATAATATTATTAAAAAAAAAAAAACATTTGAGAAAACTCCGAGTTTAAATCAAAAAGCGTTAATAATATTATGATTTAATTTTCGTTTCGAGAAAGGACGTCAGTTGTCTTCAATTGAAACTCCTGAAACGGAAAATTCGCCGAGAGATGCCTCTCGCGCGGCTAAACGTTAAATTCCCTTTCGGCGATGGATCGCAAATATAAGGGATGGTGAGTACAGAGTGAATTTATGCTTCATTCGTACATGTTAGGTATACACGAGGAAGAAACGAGTGGAGCGTAAATTATGGCACTCTTGAAGCTCGTTCCACTTTCTCCTCCTTTTTCTCACCCCGCTTATTCGTTTCTCCCTCTTTCGACCTCCAGGCACGGCGCTCGTTTCCAAAGAGAAGTTTTTATATTTATTGTTTTATGCTACAGAACACGCTATTCTTTGTGCGGTGAGAAAAGTTTCGCTCGAAAAAATTAATCAAATAAATATCATACACAAGACACACTGTTCCCAGAGTGGACTGCTAGTTAAGTCTATTCAGCATATCTCTTTTTTCACGATAACTGGAATTTTTCATCAAATTTTATATATACTCCTGAAAATAATTAAGGGATCAAAAAAACTTGTTCAAAAAGTAGGCAAATTTTAAAGAGCTGTAACTTTGTTTCGAAAAATGATAATTTAAATTTTAAAAAAGGATTTCGAAGCTTGCAATCTCTACTTTCAGAAGATCATAGCTTTTTTCATTTGGACTGAAATATGGAGCACGTACGGAAGGATTGTTTTTTCCAACACATTTCTGAACAATATAACGAGATTGCTTATTTATTTAAGTCATGGATTAACTACAAGAAGAAGTTTTATACTTGTAACCATCAACTGAAATTTTTACTTTGATGTCGAAGATACGACCTTGTGCCGTCACACATCAAGAACCTAAAGACTGAAATTAGTTTTTATAGTGACGTGGATGACATTTTTGTTATTTTACCTAACTCTAAAATAAATGAAATTTTAAGTACATTTAATAATTATCATGAACGATTAAAATTTACGCATGAAATAGAGACCAATTCTTCTATTAATTTTTAAATTCCACAGTTATCCGCAATGGAAATGAATTGACAACTAATTGGTTTAGGAAACCTACATGTTCTGGCAGATACATCAATTTTCTTTCGAGTCATCCTATTAAGTATAAAATTAATACGATTTATAATTTAGTAGACCATGCAATTTTACTTTCAAACGAACAGTTTCACAATACGAATATTGAGATTGTAAAGAACATTTTAATTAATAATTGCTTTCCGGATCGTATTATTAATAAATATGTAAATAAAAGAATTAAAGTACTAAATAATAATAGGGATGTTAACCGTCACAATGCGGATAATAACGATAATTTGAATAATGATTTGGATAATAACGATAATGTGAATTCGACTCAAGATAAGAATTATGTGATTCCACTTCCATATGTTAAAGACGTTAGCGACAGTATTAAAAGGTCACTTAAAAATGCTAACTTAAATGTCGTTTAGTTTGCCAAAAAAGTTGAATATGCTGATAAAACGAGGTAAAAATTTAATAACTAATGATATAAAAACGAATGTAGTATACAAGATTAATTGTGAAAATTGTAATGCCTCATACATTGGACAAACGAAAAGACATTTATGCACTAGAGTGAAGGAATATGCTAGCAATATTAAATTACATGAGTCTAATCATTCGGTTTTGAGTAAACACAGATGTGATTTTGGACATGACTTTACTTGGAAATCACCGACCATTTTACATAATGAGAAACATGTAAGAAAGAGAGAGATTGCTAAAATGTTCTTCATAAAGAAGCATGATAATACTGTTAACCTACAGAAAGACACTAAGAATTTGACAAATATTTACGACAAAATAATAAAGATTGTTTAGTGGTGCGTTTCAAACTTAGTCGTTGACGAAACATCATAGCGATGGGACGTGTTCCTCTTTTAACTATTAATTTTAAATAAGATCGGTTTTATGTTGCGTTAATCTCATTTTAATTGATGGGTATGTTTGTGGTCATAACTTAACATTTGAATATGTTCTTGTATGTTTCAACATTGTTAAAAACTCTTGTGTAATATTGTGTTATAGAATTCTCACTTGATAAGGACCACAACCAAATGGTCGAAACGTCGTGAAAGTATTGAATAAAATTGCTAGTTATGTCGAAATCAATTTTGCCAAGTTTATCTAGAATAATGTTCAGAAATATGAATATATTTTTATGTATCTTTTATAATTACATTTTTTTATAATTGTGTTTACATAAATGGTCTTAAAAATAATATTATCTGGAAATTATCTAAATGAATCGCCATATAATTTTATCATTTTTTTCATTTTCTTCAATTCTGATATTTTTTACATACAGAAAAACACAAACATAAAATGGAACATTTTTTCTCACTTTGTAGACATGTCACATATACAAGAATTTTTTGACATTTTCACGTTAAAGCTTTCCCTGTAAAATTGTTTTTTAAAATTTTAATTTCGATCTTTCCTTATCAAGTTATCGTAAATTGAAGAGAAAATGTCATTTTCACTTTAATCGTTCATGACTCCGTTAAAAATCATCGTACAGCAATTTTAAAAATTGATTCTTAAAGGTGAATCTTTACTCTATAGTATGATATAGTAATTGAATTTTTTTATCTTGTAAATTTTTTGCTTTAAAAAGGAAAAAATCGGAAAAATACGATTTTTCCTTGTGTATTACCGTAAAAACTATTATATTAGTTTATAGAATCAAAATTAATATTTCGCCGATAAAGTATCATTTTAATACAATTTTCTATTTATATACAAACGATGTTAAATAATAACCCTTTGCAATTTTTAAGTTTCAAAGATAAACGTAAAAACAACACACACCGTATTATATCATTCTCTTATTTATTGCATTTCCTGTTGTGCACGTTGCATTAATTATCCAAAATTATCCGCTGTATTTATTATTGACATATGCATTAGCATTACTGTATCCATTATTATTATTGTTGTAAAAATGCTAATAACGAAATTTGCTCGCTTCGTTCTGTTGGCAATAATTTCGCCGCGAGGACGCCGCCGCTTCATATATTCGAGTTTCGCGATACAGAATTTTGCAACGGCATCGAAACTCGCACGGCGACAGCTGTCGCCGCCATTTTTCGCGTATGTTTCGTTGTAACCTGCAGCAAGACACATGTGAATTAAAAAAAAAGGAAAAAATCGGGAAAATACGATTTTTCCTTGTGTATTACCGTTTCTTTCTTTTTTTTCCCTTTTTATTACAAAACAAAGTCCAAGAAGAAATTTAACTGCGCGCAAATTTGACCGTAATTTTCCACGTTGCCAATTTCAATGATTGTCGATTACTTTTATTTTCTTTTTTTTCTCTTCTTTTCGACGCTTCGTAAACAATATCTTGTGTAGAACGGAAAAATAAATTCCTATCGCAAATAAATTTTTACAAAAACTGTTATTCATTCCATATTTCGTTTCTCATTCAATTTAGTAATTTCATTTATGTTATTGAAATTTTTACTTAATAAGAGAACCTTTTTATCAATTTTTTAATGTTAATTTCTTTAATGTTTTCATTTTGATTTGAAGATAAATACAGAAAGATAAATACTTACATGAAAACATATG